TAGCATCCAGGATAAAGACATGTACAACTTTGATGAGACAGGCTTTATGATGGGCTAGATCTCCCTAGGAGCAGTTGTTACAGCTTCAGAACGACGAGGTCAGCCAAAGGCTGTCTAACCAGGCAACTGGGAGTGGGCTACAGCTATAGTGAGCATTAATGCTAAAGGATAGGCCATCCCAGCCTTCCTTATCTTTAAGGCCTACCACCACCTCTCTGCCTAGTACAAAGAAGAGGATCTGCCTCAAGACTAGGTTATTAGAGTCTCTAATAACAGCTAGACTACTAACAAGCTTGGTCTAGACTAGATAAAGCACTTTAACAGGCATACAAAGGAGCGTACTATTGGCACCTACTATTTGCTCATTATTAATAGTTATGAGAGCCACAACTCTCTTAAATTCCAGCAATACTGCAAGGATAGTAAGATTATTGCGCTCTGTTTGCCTGCTCACTTATCGCACCTCACACAGCCCCTTAATGTGGGTTGTTTTGCCGCTTTAAAGAAGGCGTATAGGCGCCAAGCTAAAATACTCATGCGCAACTAGATCAACCATATTACAAAGACTGAGTTCCTGCCATGCTTTATACGCGCCTACAACGCTGCGATTACTCCTAGCAACATCTAGGGAGGGTTCTGAGGCGCTAGACTAGTCCTGTTTAACCTAGAACAGGTTATAAGCAGCCTTAATGTGAAGCTGCGCACTCTATCACCACCACTACCTGTTAACAACGTGCTCTGGCAGTTGCAAACCCTAAGCAACACCCTTAAACTTAGGTCGCAATTAACGCTTGTGAAGACAAGGATTCAGAGGCATATAGATAGCTCACCTACCTCTATAGTTGAAGCGTTTAAGAAGGTGTTAAAGGGGGCAGCAATAATTGCGCACAGACTAGTGTTGGCGCAACAGGAGATTGCTGAGCTTTAAGCAGCAAATAAGGCAGCTACACGACGAAAATTACACAAAAGAAAGCAAGTTAAGGCAGAAGGGACCCTAATAGTTAAGGAGGGGCAGCGATTAACAGCTCTAACAGAGTTTGGGGCGCGTAGTGATGGTAAGAAGGTAAAGAAGCAGGTGCGCGCTGATGGGGCTAAGCTGACCCAAAGGCGCTGTGGACAGTGCAGTAAGACTGGACATAACGCGCGAACGTGCAAGAATGATGTAGAAGTAGTCTCTAAGTAATATTATAGCTTGTCTTGCCTTGTACAGCGCCTGTTTGTGGTGTTTTGGGCAATAATAGGGTGAGGTTTGGTGGGGGCTTGGCAAAAGTGGGCGACTCGCCTGTGTGGGCGACTCGCCCGTGGAGTACGTTATACATAATGCTATCTATTTCTTATTACAACACTACTACACTATCGCAACATAGCCATTGCAGATCTACAGCTTTGCAATAGTCTTTAGTCCCTAAACAACTATAGTAAGGGCAGCAAATCTAGACAAGATACCTAGGTGGCTGAAAGCCCTCCTACAAGTAGAAGCAACATAGACATCTATTGTGAAAACACTAGAAGGTCACTCAAACTTAGTCATAGCTGTAGCCTTCTTGCTAGACAGCAAGCATATTGCGTTAGGCTCTTAGGACAACAATGTTAAGCTGTAGGACATCCACAAAGTGTTAAGACCTTTAAAATTTATTAGGAGCACTCTTAACAGCTATTTAAAGTCCTGTTGAAAGCGCAAAATTAAAACTTTGCAGGCTGTCACTGCCTTAAAGTTGTAACAACGCTCTACGAACAGTGACCCGATATAGACTGGCGGATGGGTACCATGTACCTAGGGTAGGGTATAGGTAGGGTATAGGTCGCACGGACGTAGGTATAGGTAGGG